GACACTAACACCAGGTATCGATGGTTTTTTGATACACTGATTATATTTAAAAAAAATATTTGTATACTCACTCACGAAAATCAAATATGAAAAAATATAAATAGAGATATAAATATTGTTTGCAAAAATAATAACTACACACAGAGCCGTAGCAATGTTCATTAGCGCTCCTGGCCATTTATCATATTTCCGCCCTTGTAAAATTGTTTTAACCCCCCCCCCCCCCTCACACACACACACACACACACACACACACACACACACATAAAAGACTTATGCATTCGTTATTTTTTTTTTAATAGTGAAAATTATAATATTAATAAAAAAAAAAAACAATAGCAAACACTGCCAAACTGATTAAAACCTTATAAAATAATTAAAAAAAAATTATTTTTTACATTTATAAATTTCACTTTTCGTGCTTTTTTGGTAGTATACAATTAAGCTCCATTTTAGAAGGTTTATATTTTTTTTTTATTAAGAATAATATACTAGTACGTATACCACACTTGCGTTTGTTGTCTCCGTATTACAAACCTACGACATGGCAAATTTTCGTTCACTAGCTACCTAGTTTTAATAATGTGCTGTTAGTTGTTATATCAGAGTGAATGGTGACGGTCAATTATTAATATTTACTATGGACCTATTATTAAACTTTTAGTTTAGAACATTAGCTGTGCTTAAGCGTCGGCTTTTATTCGATATTTAAGTTTCCAAGCAAGATATGAAATATCACAAATTAAAAATTCTCTTATCCCGCATGAAAATTAAAATATGGAATAAAAGCAGACGCTTAAGCACAGACAATGTTCTTAACTAAAAGTTTAATAACAGGTCAAAACACTCTAATATAAAAACTCACAGCACACTATTGTAACTAGTGAACGAATATTTGCTATATGTCGCTCCCATGTAAAACCGATAACAAAAGGATGGGTAACGTCCAGATATAATTTTAAAAAAATTAAATAAAATAAAATCGTTTAAAATGTAATTTAAGAAATAAATTTATATTTTCAATATGCTAAAATTTTTTTAGAAAAGAAAATTTCTCAGACTCATTAAATTTATGTTTAATCATTAAACTGAATTAAAGATATTTTTTTATCGATATCACTATCAAGCTAGTTGTCCAAATTACTCTATAATAATAGTAATAAATATCTAACCTTAGATTATCAAAAATAGTCCGTAGGATTAAAACAAGTAAAATGAAATAGATACTTGGCGTGAACTGTGAAGATAATTTTTAAGACAATATTAGACAAATATTAATTATTATTTCTTTTTCTTAACTCCAAATAAGATTTAAAGGATTTTAAATTAATTAATCAATTAATTGAATAAATGTTTTTTTTTTAAATAGGTGAATGGTGAACTAACTATCTTAATGTTTATACATTATTTAAATTCAAATTTGATCTATAAAAATCAACGAATGTTAATAGTGACTTCTTGTATAGGTAAATACTAGATATTTAGTATTTACATTCTTATAAACAATTATTTTGTATAAACCTAGGTTACAACTTAATACATTAATACATTATACATTAATATAAACATTAATATATTATGAACTACAATTAAGTAGGAATTAACCGTAGAACTGTTGTAGTTCTTCCTTTCACTGACTAATATAAAATGACTAAATATTGAAATAGGAGTATCTACCTACCAATAAATATGACGACTAAGGGACTAAGGGAGTCTTTAAAATATAATACATTTAGAATCCTAATTTTAACTTTTACATGCAGCTAATATTTAATAATAATGATCGATTTTCAGAACTACCATGTTGATAATTGACTTGCGTGCCGAGATGGTTGTATGAGCAGCAGTATAAACAACTATCAACACAAATAAAAACACAATATTATCGGCTACTAACTGTTCTTAAAATATCATTCCGGGCCTAATATTACGTAATATTATGACGAGTTATTATTCTTAAACACTTGTAAATGATAATTGTAATATTTATATAATATACAATACCTACAAATAGTATATAGTCACTAATCACTATAATGGACTTATAGTAATAAAACTATTTTGTGCATATTCTAGTAAAATGTAAATTATTAAGAATACCAATAAATAATAATACCATATTACCATATATATATATATTATATGGTATATTTTATTCTGGATTTCGCGTCCCTTTTTCGTTGCGCCCCTGGCCTGGGCCAGTCTCGCCAAGCCCTAGCTACAGCTCTGACTACACATATCATAATTATTATTGTAAAAATATAAAATTTGTGTTAGCAAATTCGTCCCGGAAACTAAGAACTGCAGTCTTATTATCAGACACCTTTTCAACGGTTTCTTTTTTCATGGAACTATATATACCTCACCCACTCTTATTATGATGGCAAATGTACCGGGGACGCAGTAACCGAACCTAAAAGAACCGGTCTGGAACCTTTAAAATATTAAGAACCAAAACCGGAACCGAACAGGAATTTTTAAATAAAATAGGTTCTTTTAGGTTCAAAAATATAATAATTTTATTTATCATAGTTTAATGGTATTACTGTTTTGTGTATAAACTATGTATTATCATATTATGAGTTTTATAATATTTCTCATACTATTAATTAAACCAGCATTCCGGATAACCTAATTCCAAATTATTATACAATTCGGTGCCTAAATAATTTGGAACCGATACCTTATTTTTTTATTTTTTTATTTTTATCAAAAACCAGAACCAAACCGGAACTGTTATTTTATTTTTGGAGAGCCAGGACCAGAACCGACACCGACAAATTCATAAGATTCCAGTCCCTGAATTATGTACCTATTACAAAATATTATGATACCGATAAAGCGGAATCTCGACGGTCCTGTCGAAAAATTGCCTATATTTATCGCCGTGTTATAATAACTTTTTAATTTCCTGCATAAAATAATAAACGCATTTTATACTTATATTATATACATTATATTTGTTATTATATAATGTAAAATAACTTAAAAGCTGTTCTGTTTCTCCTTTTTAATCGACGTCATCTTTTAGATTATCACGTATACAGACGACTGAGGATAACATTTAGAACAACACAAACCATACTCGTTTAATCGTATTAAGTGGTCAACATTGTGCCGCCGTTTCATAGTTTCTTAAAATTGATAATATATACATTATACATACTGCATGTAAACACGTTATACATTATTATTATATTGTCTAGTCTATTATATTTTATAAGTAGTTGATGTTATGAAAATTAAATTATATATTATAGTATATATACAAGCTCCGTTTTAATATCCCGAAATGGTACAATCTTCAATCGATTTCTGTGTTTTTCAACCGGTTGTTTTAAAAGTGCTATTTAATTTTATAGTCATTATATTTTACCACTGTTAGGTTTCTAAAGACGTTATCTCATCATAAGAGTTAAGAAACCATATAGTTTTGTAACTTCGAACTAGAAATTATTACGAATTAAAACGTGAATTAGAAAATATTATTGGATACTATATCACTGTTCAATTTATGATCTTCTATAAAAATATTATTTACAATATATTCGTTCGATAAGACTCGAGAAAATCAAGTCGTACGTTATTCTTAAGGTACGGTTTCCCTTGTGCGATCGCGATCGCGAACCGCGAACGCGGTCAACGAACGCGAACTACGAATTAAGATCGCATTCGCGTCATGTTGGTTTGCTCTAGACGATTCTACGTCGCGACCGAAATATTTATAATTTTATTTTAACAGTCGTCCGTCAGTCGTACTCGATATTTTGAAGTGCTAAGTTCACGGTGTACGAGTAGGTACTGTTCGTATTTAAAAATTATTATAATGGATACAGTCGATAAAGAAATCTTAAAAATGATTTTGCTAGAAGAAGAAGAAGATGATGAGATCTTGAGCTGGTATTTGTCGGAAGAAAAAAGAAAGCAGCATGATCCATTATTTACAAAGATGAGTACTGTGGTATCACCCGTATTGGATAATACGCGGTAAACCAACTTTATACCTTACCCTCGTACGCTCTAGGCTAATGACTGTCTCTAGAATATATTCAGATTAGCACTGTTAACCTTTGAGGTACGATGGTAGCGTTTTGTCAGTTCTTCGTTCGTTTCCTAAATTGGAATGACTATTAGGACGCCACAACCAGAGCACTGTTCAGTTTGTAATAAACCTCATTGACTATAGGTGTGTGGGTCTGAGCACTGTTCCAATATTAAAGGTAAGAACGAAGAAGACTTTGAAATAAAACTCAACTCGAGTTTTTAGGTCGGAAACACTTTTATTATATTTAAATAACAAACACAAAATAAAATATACTTGGCGAATTCAGATCGCCTAGCCCGTACTACGATCGACGTTTCACACGTACGACCACAGTACCTACGTCCTCGCCGATTCACTCAGCGACAACGGGACTCCCCGTGCCTGCGCGTGCGGCGGTGTTATATAGTAATCTTATCGCTGTCTCAGCACATATGCTTCACTGACCTATGTCAATGTTTTACAATAAAAAGTTCCCACCTCTATTACATATATGAAATAATATTTTGACGACTGTCTACAATATACGACAGTACCGAAGGTTATCACGAAATACTTATCAACGGTCATCTGAAAAATAATGAAATCAAGTTCAGGGAATTTTTTAGATTAAACCGTCATCAGTTCGATTTTATTTTGAATCTAATAAGGGACGATTTAACATTAAATCCAACATTTTTTATAAGGAAACCCATATCACCAGCAGAAAAATTGGCGGTTACATTGAGGTAAGTACAATTTTTAAATTAGATACAGATAAATTAAAATTAAATAAGAACTCATATTTATTTATGGAATACTGTTGTTTTATTTTAATATACAATTTGTATCAAAGTTAAAAATAAATCAATTTTCTATCGGTACAAATTAAAGGTACTTTATCATATTATATTTCATTGACTTATGAAAAATTAATTTTAAAAAAAACCAAAATACCTTATAAGATAATATTTTAAATTTACTGAGAATTTGTGTTCCATTCATTACTCATATTTTGAACTGACTGGAAAGGCGTAAATGTCGTTGTATTTGTTGGTCCGAACTGTTGTTGGATACTCGAATATGATGGTGAATCTAGTGAAGGTGGACTATAACTATATGGAGTAAAGTTGTTAGAGTATGGTGAGCTACTAGTAGAATTATTTGACTGTAATGATACTCTGCTACTGCAGTTAGGTATGATGTGGACGTTATGTGTATAATTATCAGCTTGAAGTTCCAAGTCAGTCACAATTGTCAACATTTTCAATTTCGCCTGTGAAATTAACTGTGGTGGCAACTTTTTGACAGATAGAGCTAAACTTTTGAAAAAATGATCAACCTCATCGTACTCGTCCTTATTTTGTTTAGCAATCAGTTGCGTCATCAGCTCCGTTCTTTCCTTTGATCTTTTGTCCAATAATTCAGTGACTTTTAAATTTTTTTTTTTATTAGTCGGTTTTTGTGATCTTGAAGTCGATGGAGATTGAGGATCTTGCGTTATTGGTGATGACTGCAGTATATCATCTTGTGTGATATTTATTTCCTCTTCGTCTGAGCCAGAATCTTCGTTATTATCAGTATCAAATATATTTGATATAGTGCTGTTAAAATGAATAATAAATAATAATAATCTGGTATTATATAGCCATTGCACTAGGGCAAGGATGTTGTTGCATTTGCATTTGCATTTTTTTCTGTTTCAATTTATTGTTAATAAGTTTTAAATGTGTTGAATGTAAATACGAATTAAAATCTAAAACTCTTAGGTGCAATTCTATGCAATTTTTGGATTTTAGATTCTGAGTGAAACGATGAATGTATTGATTTTAAAATGATGTGTGTTTTTTTTATTTATTTTTTTTTTTTTTGTATCTGTGTACACGATAAGTAGTCGAAATAATGCTTCGATTTTCGACTTCAGTATCTTGTTCGATGTGAATATCGTTGGTGCATTGGGGAGGTCAAAATTTAAATTTCGCAATAGTTTTCAAAAGCGCCGGGAAAAACCACATGAAAATTAAGAAAAAACGGGAATTTTTACGCAAGATTGGTTTTTAACTCTAAAACAAATGAACGTATATACATGAAATTTTCACTGATCGTTTATATTCGCATTTTCTATACACGATAAAATTTTTCAAATATTTTGACTCTTTTTGAACTGTCAATTTTTTTAGTTTTTTTTTTTTAAATATCAATAAAATGTTATTTATTGGTTAAAAAACCTTGAAAATTTAATACAAGGCTCTTAGTATTTTGTTTCAATGGTAGTTAAAAAAAATTAAAAATCCTTAGTCACAATTTTTTTTATAAGCGTTTAAAGTTCAAATCTTGACAAAATACGGAAAAATCACGAAAATTAGCAAATTATTTTGAGTTGAAAATTCGTAAAAATTTTTCTTTTGAAATCTAAGGATTGAAAATGTAATACAAGATTATTCATAAGTTTGTTTACCTTTATCAAAAAAAAAAAATCTACTAGAAAGTCAAATTGAATTTTTATGAGCGTTTGAAATTCATATTTTTACAACATTTGATATTCACTTGATTTCTCATGTAAAGATTTTCTTATTTTGTTGTAATTAAAAAACGAATGACTGTAAATACTTGAAAATTTCACTGAATATTTATATTAGCATTTTCTAAACACGATAAAATTTTGAAAATAATTTGACTCTTTTTGAGCTGTGTACGGACATTATCAGTTTTTAATTTTTTTAGTTTTTTTTTTCTATAAATATCAATAAAATTTTATTTGTTGGGTAAAAAAGCGTGAAAATTTAATACAAGGCTCCTGATATATTGTTACAATAGCAGTTGAAAAATATTAAAAATACATAGACAATAATAATAATAATTGTCAAACAATAATTTATTGAATGTTTTTATGTTTAAAAATAGTGAAGTTGAATAAAAACTAATAAAATTGGAAAATGAAAATGTTCTTAAACAGTTCAAAACAAATAAAAATATTTTTTAAATTTTATCTTGTACAGAAAATTTGAATATAAACAACCAGTGAAAATTGCATGTATATATACGTTCATTTATTTTAAAGTTGCACCAAAAAATTCCCGTTTATCTTAATTTTTCTTTTGTTTTTCGCGTTGATTTTGAAAACTACTAAGAAGTTTTTACTTTTGACCCCCCAAAGTACCAACTAGATTCACTTTTCTATCAGAAAAGTTACTGTTGAAGAAAATCCAAGCATTTTTACTGTCCTAAAAGGTGATGACAGACACAAAAAAAAAATTTTAAACAAAACACACATTATTGTAAAATCAAAACATTCATCGTTTCGCTCAGAATCTAATATAAAAATTAAAAATGAAAAAATAAAAAAATAAAAAACACATCATTGTAATATCAATACATTCATCGTTCTAAACTCAGAATCTAAAATATGTATCAAAAAATTTAAAAAAAAAAACAAATTTTGGAATAAGTCAATCACTCTTTATGATATGCAATAAGGTACTTACTTTCTTTCTTGTGGTACTGTATCCAAAAAAGTTAAAAATGGTGCTAAATGCCATTTTGAGGGTTCTGAAGAGGCACTTGCTCCAGTATTCATTTTTCTGGCCCGTTTATTTTTTAAATAGGCATCTTTAATATTTTTATACCTTCTCTTGCAGTCTTCATCTAGTACAAATAAATATTCATAACCGATTTCAAACAAGAGTTATTAAAATACTGTTTTATAATAAAAACATAAATTATAAAAAAAAAATGATAAGGTACTTGCAACAAAATAACAAATGAAACTTAAATTTGTTTTAAGGTTAAACATAGAACGCATCTGTATAATTGGTAAGCAGATTAAAAAAAATTACATTTCGTAACCGTTAACAAATAAAATATTTATAACATACATTGTTGTCGGTTATTTAGTTATTATTACCTACCTATTGTAATAACAGTATATTTTGATTCAAATAAATAAAAAATGAAATATATTTATTTATTAAATAATAATGACATGTATATAATATATTTTTTTCTTCAGATTTTTAGCTTCTGGAGAAACGTACCGTTCTTTATCTTTTGCTTTCCGTATATCACACAGCTATATTAGTATTATAATACAAAATACCTTAAAATCTATGAAAAAGCATCTGTTACCACTTTGTATACCTAATCCGAGTAAATTAAATATGAAAGATAAAGCCCAAGAGTTTTGGACAAGATGGAATTTCCCAAATTGTATTGGCGCAATCGACGGTAAACATACTAAACATATTCGAATGAAGTGCCCAAAAAATACCGGTTCATTATACTTTAACTACAAAGAACATTTTTCCCTCGTCTCATTAGCACTAGTAGATGCGAATTGTAAATTTTTAGTCATTGATGTTGGAACCTATGGCAAAGAAGAAGATAGTGGCATATTTGGAAAATCAAAAATGGGACAGCAAATTTATTCTGGAGATTTTAATTTTCCAGGCGACGAAAAACTACCAGGCACTAATAATTCTACACCATTTGTTATTGTTGGCGATGAAGCATTCAGACTTCACAAGCATATCATGAAACCATATTCTAGATCTACAGCTAAACAAGACAGAGCAAAAAACTATTTTTAATTACAGGTTGAGTCGTTGTCGTAGAGTGACGGAAAATGCATTTGGCTTATTAGCACAAGTTTTTAGAATATTTCATACTGCAATAGGAATTGATGTAGAAGTATGTGACGATCTAGTAACTGTCGCAACTCGCATGTTGTTTGCACAATATGTTGAGAGATGCGTTTTTGGAAAAAGGTAATAAAATTTTTTATGAATATGACGAAGGACAGACTACTGAGATAGGCACTTTATGTAGTAGAGGTGGCTTTGCGAGTGCAGATGGTTTTGATGTGAGGGAAAAATTTAAACAATTTTTTATTCAAGAAGGACGTGGCAAAATTATCAAGTTTCCAGAATATCATCTACCAATACTTAAATATTATACTTGTAATTTGTTTTTTAAAATAAATAAATAATTAGTTTTAACTGCTGCTAAGTATAGGTTGATATTTATAATATTAAATATAAGTGACGGTCTCACACAAAAATTCTAACATTTTACAATTATTTGGTTTTTTTTTTAAATAATTCATAATACAAAATATATATCATGGAGATTAAAATTAGTTTTGATATTTTAAACACGATAAAAATAAATGTCCAGAAATTATAATTTATTTTTAGCTTAACGTATACAGAAGTACACAGTCCCTACACGTGCGTGTGTATTCATAACTTCTAAAATAGGTACCTACTCATTCATAAATAGACAGTGTCAAGGTATTTACTTGAAAATAATCATTTATTTTAAACTTGAACGATCTGTTGTACACGTCTTTTTTTACTCATAATCAGTTGCGTCATTTCAGTTTTTATTAGACTAGGGCAATTTTTCACTGCTTTTGCGACTCAACATTTTGTTCACTCAGATTCTCATAGCATAGTGCCATAGTGGTAAACGGGGGGGGGGCGTGTGCTAAATGTGCCGACTTATGGTTGATGTAAATACTAGACTGGGGCAAATTCCCCAGTTGCCCTCCCCTAAATGACGCTACTGCTCATAATATTATAATAATGATATTCAAATTAAATATACTATAATCTCAATGCATTATTTGAAAAAATTATTTATACCATTATAATATATTTTTATTCATACGAATCTAATATTTTTTACAAACAATATTTATAATATTTTGCTTACCACTTCGCCCAACGTTGCCACTTATATCCTTCCAAATTGCATCTCGTATATTCAAATCTTTATAAATTATAATCCCTATTTTCGGGATTATAAATTGGGGGATGTTTGGCTACACATTCAACCAATATCTCGTCTTGCTCCTTATTGAACTTGACCATTGCAGAACTCATGTTTGAACAACCGATGTCAACGAGTGTTCAAACATAAATGAAAATATTGCATGATTGAATTATTAATAATTATTATCAAAACAACAAGCCGATCGCGGCACGAACGCGATTTGACTGCTCGAAGACCAGTCAGTTCGCGTTCGCACCACGAACAAATTGCGATCGCCGACCGCGGTCGCCCAAGGAAAACCGACTATATTTGATTTACATTGTATCAGCAGCCACGCGATCAGGGTACGCGATCGCGCAAGGGAAACCGTACCTTTATATCGGTACGAACAAATAATATACACTATAAATAATATACGATGGAGAAAAAAAAAAAACCTGTTTCTGTTGTACAGCACTTTTCCATATTATTATGTGATTACAACATCGAATCCTAAGGAACTGTTGTCCTCCCCCTCACAAAAAAAAAAAACTTCCCGTTGGATTGTTATTTGTTTGTGTCTCAAAAGTGACAGTCGTGTGTGTATATTATAATACCGTTTGGCTTAAATTATGGGAAAAAACCCGTTTTTACTGAGAAAATATTCATGAATTAAGGGGATAACGCTTATGCATATTAAATATTATTGTGTTGCATTGAAGTAAACGTATTACACATAATATTATGCAATTTGCTTAACAGCTTTTCAAAAAGTTACTTCTAGCCCCGTCGCAAACGAATAAAAGAAGTATCCCATGGGCATAAATGTGCGTTCACAACTCGCATCGTTATGTGGAATTAAATTTAATATTCAACTTGTATTGGTAACGCGCCTACCTGTGTATTACCTAAGTTTTTATACCGACACGTATTGAACGAACGTATACCACATTGACAATTCCTTGACCTTAGCTCGGACAAATGTCTCGAAAACTCACCTTCCGCAAATTATAACCATTATTGTAATAATATTATAATTAGTGTGTGAACCGTTTTCTACGATTTTAATTATACACATTGGGTTACTATTTGCTGAATGTCCCCATTCCGATAACGACTTCAAGGTATGGTTTTAAGAGAATTTTCCTCATATTGTTATCATAATATAAGCTATAGGTATCAGCCTATCCTTAATACACACATGAAATGTTTACCACGGGTGTTTGTATAATAGTAATGTCATCGTTGTCCAAAATATAAGTTCTATTTGTTGTCTGCGTTAATTTTTGTAATTTTATTCGTCATCGTCATACTTACCATAAACAAACGTTATTTATTTTTCCACAAGCCAAAACATTTTTTAGTCTTTCAGATGACTCTAGAAAATATTATTTTCCAAACTAATAGCTTGATTATAAAATAGATTATAAAATATTGTAGAAACGTGGCGTGGAACAACGTTAGTTACTTACATGTTTTTTTTTTTTTGTCGGTCGATTACTTTGGCACGCACGCAGACGATAATATATAGTACCTATTGTATTATTATTTTAAGCTAAAAGTAATCTACACAATATTACGGTTAATAGTATCTATTATAATAATTACACGCGTTATGATTATTTGTGAAATAATATTCGATTTCCGAAAGGTTTCGCAAAAAAATATCGTGTTTCGCGGTCGAAAATCAAAACGCGATTCTTTAGCCCCGCAGGTATAACCAGGTATATAACATTATTATATAGATTAACAGGTAAAGGTTTACATTGCTTTAAGGATCGGAAGAGTTTCCGTTAATCGTCTAGGAGTGGTTTTATTACGTAATAAGGTTTCTAGCCAATAATAGTCACATCGAACTTGTGTAGGTATTCATTATACACGTCCCTCCTGGAGGCTGACAACTTAGATATACGCGTCTGCAGTGCCGGAAAGTCTGAGAAGTCCTCGAATATGAGTTACGATAAAAAACTGTTTAAATCGCATGTTTTGATAATAATATTATTAGGGCTCGGATGTTTATGAAATTGCATAATATTTTTTTCTATTTGTCCAATTTAACGCTGACCTGGATACAAATTTTATTCATGTTCTACTGAATCAAATAATACTATTTTTATTTCGCACATTTTTGCATATTTAATTTATTTAATATTTACTATTTAATTCATATTTATTTTAATTGCATATTTCGGGATTTTAAAAACAAAATTGCTTATTTCAGTACATGTTTTTTAAAAAAACAATTTAAATTGACGAACTACAAAATTAACTACACAATTTTTTTACAACAGTTAGTACAATCTACCACGCATTGACGTAAAATATAAATGTTTTTTATCGACTTATCGTGTTTGTTCGAGACTATTGTACTTTATGACATATTATAATAACGTAAACTCAGGGGCGGAGTGGGAACCAAATCCAGGCCGGGAGTTTAAAATTTATCCAGGCCACCCACCAACATTTTTTTTCTCACTAAGCTCGAATTTGGTTTTTCTATTTACCTATTTGAAAACTACTTTTAGTATTATAAAAGTATTTCAATCACTATCTTGCTATTTCTTTTAACTTCTGTCTTCTAACACATAATATTAATATACCACTAAGTACCTACTTATTCCTGAAAGTCTGAAAAATAAAATTAGTAGGTATGGTTTAATAGTTGAAATCAACGAAATATTAATAATTATATTATACATTGTGTTTTAATTGTTTAGGTATAGTAGATATAAGGTAATAAGTAATAGATATATACACACATTGTAAACAATATATACCTAATTAAAAAGATTTATACATTCATAGTAATAATTTAGATAATAGATT